AAAAGTGTGGATTATTGTAACCTGGATTAAAAGTGTGGATTATTGTAGTGAAGCCTTCGTCTTCAACCATGGACAGAGGCCTCGTGTCAGTGACGATCATGTTCAGGATGTTTCAGTGAAGACAGCTGCTGCTGTGGTGTCCATGATGTCTGTCCATCATGAAGGATGTTGTTTGTTGTTGTTGTTGTTTTCTGGAATGAGAGAGACAGTATAGTACCGGTTATGTATTATAATTTACAGCAGTTCAAGAAATGCCTTATTTCACTTTCAGTGTTACGTTAAGGCAAGTAAGTATGGGGTGCCGTTTGTAAAGTTACACGGTCAAAAATTAACAGCAATATTTTGGTTTATTTAGCCTTTAATAAGGAAAAAAAATTCCAGTCATATTTTCACCATGTTATTCATACATTTATTAATGTCAGTTTCCAACTAAATATTTAGTTTACAAACTAAATACTTAACTTGCAAGTTAAATATTTAGTTAGTAAACAAAATATTTAGTTATAAACTAAATAATTAATTTCTAATCTAAACCTTTAATTCCTAAACTAAATATTTAATTTGGTAACTAAATATTTGGCTACAGACGGTGCGCACAGTGTCTGTGTGACAGGACGCTGGAGTTTGTGGGAGCTTTAGACCTTGGGAGTGAAAGCCACTTGTTAAACGGGGCCAAAATGTAAACTTTTTCAAACTATGGGCCAGTTTCAGAATCTACATTAACTCAAGTTAGATACCAAACATCTTTTTTTGGTTGCAGGTTCCTCAACAAGAGTTCGGTCTCATTTGACGTTATGTGTTGCACTTTTGACATCATAATCAAAGATTACTGAAAAAAATCAAGTGAAAAAGCATTTTACATTTAAAATAACATGTTGGGGGCCAGATGTCAACAAGGCCCCGGGCCTTGAGTTTGACCCATACGCTTTAGACCCTGTTCAGGTGGCTGGCTGCCACTGACACCAGGTCAGTAAGAGGACCAGGTACGAAGAGCATTTTAGAGAGGCTGAATCTCAGAACTACAAGCGCATCAAAACAGTCAGAATATCATGAACAAGCTAAATGTTTGTCCTTCCACAAAGTGAAACTCATTTATTACATCAAGTGAAATATTTCAAGCCGAGAATGTTTACTATGCTCCACTGTGAAGAACGGTAAGGTTTGAGATGTGTAACCCTTGTTGGAGTGTTTGAAATGAGCGTGTGGAAGGTGAAGGCAGGATGTGAGTGAAGCTGTGCTCCGTGTCGTCCCTGCAGTGTACAAGAAGGACCAGAAGGGAAAGAAGGAGGTTTCTGAGCAGAAACGCAAAGATAAAGAGAAGAAGGTCGACTCTGAGAGCAGCAAGTACAGAGAGGAAGAGGAGGCTGATGAAGAGGAGGAGGAGGAGCAGCAGCGCATGGAGGAGGAGCCTGAGGAGGAGGAGGACGTGGAGAACTAGAGCCTCCTGGACTCCATCAGAGGAGGCCTGATCAAACCAAACGCTCTTTTGTTTTCACTTCAGCTGAACTTGGTGACTCACATCAACCAAAGTTATCCGAAACGAAGAAGTTGCTGCTGATCAGGTTTTCTGACTGTGGGTTTACATTTACAGCTTCATGTTGAAAGAAGAGTGCATTTTGAGTAATGAAGGATGCCACCTCTGATGCATTTTCTTCTCCAGCAGCTTTAAGTGAACCTGAACATTACACGAGTCACTTAGTCGAAGGCGAGGCGTGTTGTGCTCTCCAAACATCTGTCAACATTCTCTGCTCCCGCCCATAACTTGATCTGCTCAAGATGATTTAATAAAACGTCATACCCACATGCATCACAACTAGACGAGTCACGTCCAGCTTCACGGTCACACGTCAAGGTGTTCTACCAGGACTTGGCTTTTCTGGGCCGTTGCTACAGACCACTGTATGATAGTTTGTCGACGGGCGTATGTGCCGTACGCAGTACTCTTGTTTCTCTGGGGTTTTATATCATTTGTACTTCTACAAACATGTCTGGAAACTTTCAATAAATTGTTTTTTGTATAAAATGAAAGCTGATGTCTCAGACAGGAAGTCCAGATGAATGTACCACCATGACAGTAGTGAAAATCCCTCCGTCAAAACCTCATCAAGAACCTGAAATGTTTATGGCCCGTTTATGATGAGGTTCTATCATTCAGCCCATTGAACCTCACCAGCAGCTCAGCACTCGGAGGATAAGTTGTGAATGGTCCTCAGCTACTACCACGTCCAGGTTTAGCTCAGTGTCTAAAAATGGCTGACATAAACATTTTAGTGTTAAGATCAGTAAGCTGTGGTGGCCATCTTGAATGGGCTTGATTAAAAAGTTAACTCCAGCGGTTACTTCCAGATGGTACTTAAATCTGTCCAGTGGTTCATGAGATGTTTTGTTAAAAGACATACTTGGGCAAAAACTATATTGGCTCTTTGCCTTTGGGGGCAGTTAATAGAAAGACCGAGCTTTTTTGAAACAGCTGAAGCTGAACTGTTAAAAAGCATGCAACAGAATAGACATTTACAAAGACTGACTGAATACTGTAAAGTCATCCTGATGCATGCTCAATATTTTGAATCACTTTGGCCAGGATTGCCTCAAACTAGTTAGAGAGTTTGAGAAAACAGCAAGGAAGAGGGCAGACTACAAGAACCATTTACGATTCAACCTCAGATGTCGACAAAGTGGCATCATTCCCAAGAGCCTGGAACTAAAATCTTCGGTCAGCGGGCACCGGGCAAGCAAGATCCTTCAGAAGGCACAGACCCAGCTGCTGAATGAACGGGTGAGACAGACCAATTTTACTATTGAGGCCTTGAAGGCCAAAGAAGAGCACATTAAACAGAAACTAACTATGTGTCTAGATCAGACCACACTTCAGCAAGTGTTGGACTGTACAGATCAGGCACGCTTAGCACAGCATGTCAAGTCCAAGACTCGACAACAAAACAAGTTTAACTTACTAATAACTCATCAACAACATCACTATTCCAATAACAACACATTCAGTGTAGGACAACACTCCAGTAGTCAATTACATGCCAGGGAGACAGAAAAGTGGGTGAAGAATTTATCTGACAGACAGCTCACCCAGCCAGAGACAGAGATTCTTACCAGGGGACTGAACTTTGCAGTTGCACCAAGTACAATTCCTCTGGTGGAGATGATCACAGCCACTGAGTCAGCCATCCGCAACAACAAAATGAAAGAGGCTGAAGCAGAACAGCTCAGAATCAAAGTTTCAGCCTGCCTCAGCAATGCCAAACCACCACCTTCCAACATCAGTAGAGAGGAGAGGGATGCACTCACCACTCTTAGCAAGGACAA